AGCAAAAAGTCCCCCGTAATCTCTTTCTGACCAGTTGTCTAATCCTCTGACTGTCTCTGGGCTGGGAATTTCTCAAGTTACTGCTGCCATTCTCATGGCTGCCTCCAAGGCTCACTGCTGGTACCACCATTATGAGTGCTCCTGGCTTAGTCCCTCTCTCCTGTCACAGACCTCTCCTGCCAACTTCCTAAGTTGTCTTAGGCTGGAAAAATGTCTCACTCTGACCTTTTGTTGGCTTTACCACTCCAAAATTTGATTTGAGGAGTTATTTTAAAATTGTTTGGAGGAGAATATTGGGAGAATTCATTTGGGTTGCTGTCCCTAATCTGCCATCTTGGCTCTACCCAGTGTCTTATCTTTTAGACATTATTGGATAGTAGGCACTAATTCCTCCCATACTCTGAAGAACAATTTGATTATTCAAACTATGGCATAGAAGAAAGGATATTTTATTTCTAGTGACTTTATCCTCTACATAACTTAATTTAAAATTTTACTTCTAAATGAGTAAGTCAATGATCAGAAACTCTCAAAGCTAATGTGGTATATAGTATTAAGTATTGGTCTTGGAGTCAGAAAACCTGGGGTTAAGTTCTGACTTTTACACTTAATAACCATGTGAATTTGGAGAACTCGTATAATAACTTCTCTGATCTTCAGCTTACTCATCTGTAAATTGGTGATAATAATATCTATACTTCCTCCCTCTGAAATTTTTTGTGTGCAGGGTACATTGCAAATCATAAAGAGTTCTAGAAACAGGAGTTACTACTACTGTTTTATTTCATACTCCCCCCTTTTCTAAACATGTTACACAAATTACACAAATCACATTTTGTCTGGATTGTTGATTTTGTCAGTGTGAACTCCTTTGTGTGGATACTCTCTCTCTGTCTCTCTGTCTCTATCTCTGTCTCTCTCTGTCTCTCCCCCCCCCCCAAAGATCTCAATGGCTGCTCCATAATGAAATCTTATAGAGTTGCCTAAGGGCACTTGTAATTTGTCCATGGTCACTTGGTTAGCAAGTGTCAATGGAAAGACTTGAATCCAGGTCTTTCTGACTTCAGTCACCCAACTAGCAGTCATCTAGCTCCAGTCAGTCAACTAGCATTTATTAAGTGCCTACTGTGTTCCAGGCACTGTGTTAAGTGCTGCAGATACAAAGAAAGGCAAAAACCAAAAAAGGAAACACCAAACCAGTTCCTGTTTTCAAGGACTTTACAGTCTAATAGGGAAGACAGCATGCACACAATTATGTACAAACAAGATATAGACAGGATAAATTGAGGGTAATCTCAGAAAATTTTAGGATTTTTTTTTTTCAAAGCACTTGGGGTTAAGTGACTTGCCCAGGGTCACACAGCTAGTAAGTGTCAAGTCTGAGACCATATTTGAACTCAGGTCCTCCTGACTCCAGGGCTGGTGCGCTATTCGCTGTACCACATAGCTGTCCCAATCTCAGAAAATTTTGAAACCCTTCTGGAGGAATCTGAACATATATAAAATATTATTCCCTTATTTTGCATTGGGAAGGAGAATTTCAGAAACTCTACCCAAGGGCTACCCTATGAAATTAACCAGCATGATGGGAGTTTACGGGAATCCTATCTTGCGTTTGGCAGAGCAATACCATCAGGTGTTTTCCTGCCCTGAGTAAGGCATTTGTATAGTAATTGTACTCAGCTGCAAAAACTTTTTCCTGTCCAATGGGAGATGAGTAAGTTTCAGAAGAAGGGTATTTTATATCGGCTCAGGTTAACCTAGATTCTGGGGAACCAAGAATGAGTGTCCTGTCCTGGAGGTGTCCCCCTTTTTGTGACTAGGCAAGGCTAACTTTTTATATCAGTAACCTCAATGTTGAGGGATATTGAGGGGAGATGTTTGCTGATATATGTGTGTCTTGGAGATTATCCCTTAGAGTTAGTCTTTGATGTTTCCTCCTTAATTCTCATATTTATCTGTTGTTGTTCAGTCATTTTTCAGTTGTGTCAGACTCTTAGAGACCCCATTTGGGGTTTTCTTGGCAAGGATATTGGAGTAGTTTGCTGTTTCCTTCTCCAGCTCATTTTACAGATGAGGAACTGAGGCAAGCAGAGTTGAATGACCTACCCAGCTAGTAAGTGTCAGGTTGAATTTGAACTCAGGCCCAGCACTCTATCCACTATATCACCAAGCAGCCCAAAATTCCTAGATTTAAGCTTTCTATAATTTCTGTTGATTCTTCCTTCACAGTGTCCTTTAGCTATCTCCCTTTCTCTGTTCCTACTACTGTTACTTTGTGCCTGGATTACTGCAGTAGCCTTTTCACCTCTTCAATCATCCTCCACATAGCTACCAGAGGACTCTTCTTAAAAACATCACTTTCAGCAAATGACCTTCTCCGAGAGGCCAATTCCTCCATGTTCACATTGGACTGCGAACTACAACGCAGCAACAGATGTGTCTTTGGGATGCTTCATCAGTGCCTTGATGAAGAATCCACAATGATTCTCTATTCACGGGAGGCATGTTTAATTAACTTGCTTTTTTTTGCCTTTCTTCCAAGATCCTCCATAATCTAGCCCTGTTTCACCTCTCCAGTTTCATGACATCTTCCTTTTGTTAATGTAACTGTACTAAGGTCAATTTTTCAGCTTTTTGCCAATATAAAACCACTTACTGTCTCCTCGTTATCAGTGATCCATACATAAATAGTATTTATTCCCAAATCCTAGCCTTTGCTAGAGTTCTTTTCTTCTATTACATGCCTTTCCATCTCACGTCTCCAAATGCTACCCATAATTGAAGGGACAGCTCAAGAACCATCTTTTCCATGAACCCCACTTTCTTTTTTAAACTCTTCTTAAGAGGCTATACCAAATGCTTTGATTTATTGCCAGTTGTTTCAAGTGTGTCAATCTTATCTCTCAAATTAGACTGTCAGATCCTTGAGAGTCAGGACCATATCTTATTGGCCTTTTGCATAAGCAATCAGCAGGCAATCTATAATGACTGGCATAATTATGCAAGAGATCACATCATTGTAAGTCAAGTATCCATTTCCTAGTTTGCAAATTAAGCATATACCTGCTTCTAATCTGAGCTAAGGGAAAGGATAATTGAGTTTCTCTTGGTTCATGGTTGCTTAGAGGTACCTCAGCTTTGTCACAGAGGCTATTTCATGAGTAGTGACTTTTGGCCTCATTTTCCAACACATACTTCTGATGCACTATGACATCAGTCAGCTTTGCCAACAGAGTAAAGTCATGTAAAAGTCAAGTAGTAGCAACCTACTGAGCCCATGGTCTACACTCAACAAATACTGGTTATTTGCTTCTCTGGTGATTTTTTTGGGAGTGGCAAATCACAAATGAATGCGTCCTCTTATATATTCAAACGTTTCCTGAAGGCTAATGCTCTGGAACCATGTATGGTAAATACATTCTATTTGGGTTACCAGAATGTTGATGGTGACTCTCTTGAATCAATGATTAAAGCACGTAGTTTATTAGAATTGTGTGTCTACTTGGCTCAGTTCTGAGCCTATGGGCAGCTGGGCAGGGCAGTGGATAGAGAACTGGGCCTTGAGTCTGGAGGACTTGAGTTCAAATCCAGCCTCCTGGCTTTCTTCAAAACTCCCCTTGAATTCTGCCACCTAGACAAAGCCTCTTCTGATCCCCCTGAAGAACAGCCTTCTTGCTGTTGATAATCTCCAATATATCCTGTGTATATCTTGTTTGTACAAATTTATTTGCATGTTGTCTCCACCATTAGATTGTGAGCTACTTGAGAGCAGGGACTGACTTTCGCATTTGTTTGTATCCCCCAAACTTAGCACAATGCCTGGCATACAATAGGTGCTTAATAAATACTTATTGACAGCACTGCCTGGATTTTCTCTGGTTGTCCCCTATGCCTGGAACTTTATCTCATCTCCCTCCCCCGGCTTCCTTTACTTATCGGCTAAAGTTCTACTTTCTGCAGGAAGCCTTTACCCTATGCTCCTTGATTTTAGAATCCTCTGAGAGTATGTCCAATTTACCATATGTGTGTACGTATGTATGTGTATACACACACACCATCTTGTTTATACATAGCGGTTTAAACGTTGGCTCCCTCATTGGATTGTGAACTCCTTGAGATGGGGGCTGTGTTTTTGCCCTTCTTTGTTGACTCATCACTGAGCACACTGCCTGCCACACAGTAGGCTCTTAATGCTTGCTGATTTGACTTGGAAATCTCTGTTCCAGCGACCCCGACGCACTTGGGGGTGGGGGTGGGGCCCTCCATCCATCCCGGTGATTGCAAAGCAGGAAAACTCCGGATTTGAAGTCGGAGTAGTAAGGGGAGCACAGGGGAGACCGAACAGTTGGGCTTTGCACTCAGCGGACCTGGGTTCAAATGATGACTATGACACCTAATATCTACGTTAATAGATATCACCCCCTTGACCTCAGTTTCCTCATCAGTTAAAAAAAAGAACGTCAAGACCTCGAAATCCTTTTCAGCTGGACTACAGAAAAGCGCTTCCTGGCTCCTACGGCCTCGCCCCTGCCTCGGGTCTCTGGGAGCTTAACCCTTTTCCTCCCGGTCTCCTCCGGGCCTCCCCTGGTTAACGGCCTCCATCCTTTCAGCCCCCCTCCCCCTAAGCCTCCCGCGGCGCGCTCCTCCCCTCCCCCTCCCCCACTTTAGGTAACCCGGTCCGGCTGGGTCACGGTTAGGGCGTGGGGGCTGCGGCGGCTGCGCGGGGGGAGGGTCGGGCAGGGGGGCGGGTGGCGGGCGTTATAGACGGAGCGGCCCGCAGGGCAGGGCTGGGCTGCGAGCGGAGCCGCTGTCATGGCCTGCGCCAACCCCGTGGTAAGGTGGGGTCCGAGGCCCCCGCGGCCCGGCCCGACCTCGCTCTCCTCCTCCTCGGGACCCTCGACGCCCCCGCCGAGCCCCCCCCCCACGTTCAAAACCAATGGCGGGGTCTGCCCCCCCCCCACCGGCCGCCCCGTCTCTGGGGTCCGACGGGGCGGCCCCCGCCAGGGGGCATCGCCGCCTCCTCCAGGGCGGAGGAGCCGGGGCTGAGCCGGGGACCCTGCCCGGGCCTGGAGGGCCTTGTACGGGGGCGTGGGTTGGCCCCGGGTCCTGCTGAGGAGGCCTCGCACTAGCTCCAAGCCACATTTCCTCCGGTGGAAGAAGGACTGACAAGGCTGGGGAGATGGACGAGGTCCTCTTTTTGCAGCCCCCACTTTTTAGGGTGGAGGAAACTGAGTCCCCCCCCACCGCTTCCCGTGACTTGGTGCTAAGGGCCTCCCTGATTTTAAATGTAATCGATTTAGATGGGTCCAGCTAGGAAGTCTGTATCTGCTTTATTTCTTAGTAAATTTTTGTGGAGGGGAAGTTTGGTGGTGGTTGTTCATAGTCTCTAAGTACTGGATAAGTGCTGCTTTTTAAACATCATAGGTACTATAGTATTGAGGCTTGAAAATTCTGTAGGAGTTTATGAGTGTGTGTCTGGAGTAGGGTAAAGGCTGTTAGAGAGTTTTATATTTTGGTTGGATTGTTAAGTAACTTAAAATGATACTTCCCATCTTGTCAGTGGGTGATTAGTGGAACCCAGAGTTGGCCAGTAATTAGCACCTTCTGGTTATGGGTGAGGAGTGCAGCTTTTATTGTTCTGAAAGCCAAACTTTTTAAATGTTGGATTAATGTTTATTTTTGTCCTTTGATCAGCATGATTTAATCTGTCCTTAGTTCGCATAAAATTCACCTTATGGCTTTAAAAAAAACTATCAAATTTTTTAGAATGGGTTTGTTAGGTTTCTTAGCTTCATTTATCAAGAAAGAAGTTTTGATAAGTTGAATGATGGACTTGGAGTCAGCAGACCTGGGTGGAAATCAGAAACAAGCTGTGTGATCTTAGATAACCTCTAGAGCCTTAGTTTTCTCATCCATAAAATGAGGAGCATGGAAGAAAAACTCCAGCTTTGGAGTTTGCAAGACCTGTGTTTAAGGCCTGTTTCTGACTCATACTGGTTGTGTGACCATGAGCAAGTCATTTGACTTTTACACCAAATAACTCCAAAGGACCAAACATTTCAGAGAAACTTCTAATCTGTGTTGAAGAGAGTTTTCCAGTTTCTACAGCAAGGAGTTTCCCCTGGATGATAAAATTGATCGTTTGGACGGTTTCCCTCTTACCATCAGGGAGTTGTTATGAGGAACATGCTTTGAAAACCTTAAAAGCATTATATAAATGTTTGTGGTCATTGCCACTTTAGTCTAATTTGACAATGGTTTAGAGTTTTGGGTCCTATAGGTGCTTTGGTATAGGATACTGACCCTGGCATTAACCTGCAATAGGTGTTTGTTTTGCCTTTCTAGCTTGTATATGATAAAAATCCAGTAGTGAGAACAGTATAGTTAATGTCTTATAAAATTAAAAAAATTCTATTTGCCTTTTTGAGAAGTAAGTCATTAAACAGGTTTATTTCTAGATCACTTAAAAATCATTCCTCACTCTGTAGGAATAAGGTTAAATATTTGGCGCATATGGACAGCAGCAGTAACAGTACAACTTCATGGGATTATTGTTCCATGCTTCAGTGAAGTCTTCCAACTGGGCCTTGCAGATAGCTGCATGACTATATGTCTCTCTTGAGGCAGGAGCAGTTTGTGTCAGGCTCATGGTATTGTTCAGGGTGAGAAGAGAGCTTAGTAAAAATCATTTTGTGGACTTCATCTCATATTTACGCTATGAGACAGGCTGAAGTTGTGTGTACTTTATCGAAGCTAAATAAATTCAAACCTAAGAACTAAAAATCCTAATAATTGTTTTCAGCCCAAGCTCTACAGATCTGTCATTGAAGATGTGATTGAAGGGGTCCGTGAGCTATTTATAGAAGAGGGGATAGAAGAACAAGTTCTAAAAGACTTGAAGCAGGTTTGTAGCAACAACAAAAAAGGGTTTTCCCACCTAGAGTTTCTTAGTCTAGAAAACTGATAACCAACTCAGTGCTCTGCATTGTAATTATTGTTTATTATTTGAAATTACCACTTAGATATAGCTATTCATTTTGCTAATACTTGACAAAATATATTTAAAAAGCTAATTTTCAGTTGAAACAGATATCACAATTCTTTTTATTTTTTAAAAGAAAATTTTTCCCCCTCTCATAGCTGTGGGAGACAAAGGTGATGCAGTCTAAGGCAACAGAAGGTTTCTTCAGAAATAGCCATCCGGGTCCCCTCTTCACTCTTCAGTTGCCGCATAATTTGCACCAAACAATACAGACGTCAACAGGTTGGATATAGTTTGTGAAGGAGCATTGTAATTCAGGGTTACTGGGTTACATTTTTTTCTAAATTTAGATAAGTACTACCTGTCATTGGGGGATATTTATACATTCAAGATAAAACTCATCTTCAAATGGACCAGGATAACAAAACTATTACTTGTATACTCCAGAACGGTAGATTGTAGAGGCTGGGGCCTGTGGGGAATAGCACCCGTGTCCCAAATCATGGAGGTTGAGTTGGGGTTTGGTCAAAAAGTAATCTATCCTAGGAAACTATTGCTGTCAAGCTGCCTAAGGAAAGGGGTGTATGTGTGTGTCTGTCTGTGTGTGTGATACATGTACCTATGTATGTGTATATGTAGGTACTTAAGTACATGTATGTATGTATGTATGTATATATATATATAGTTATAGATAGATAAAACATTTATTAAGGTCTTACTGTGTCAAGTCCTGTGATAAGTGCTGGAATATGAATACAAACAAAAAAGAAAGAATAAATGCTCATTCTACTTACTTGGAGTATCACTATTTATATACACAGACTGGAAGCAAAACAGGGAGTTAATGAAAATATGGAGAAGAGTCAGACTATTTTGTTTTGTTTTGAATTCATAAAATAACTGCTAGAAGTTGACCACATGAATTTTATCTTTATTCTGGACCTTTTGAATCTGTTCCTCTGCTGCTGAGGAAATGTTTCTCCATAATTATAGTGTATCAATTTAAATAATGTTGACTAGCTGATAAAAGATAAAAATTGATATTGTTGCTTCTGACTGAAAGGTTTTATTTAGTCTTCTTGGCTTTTTTTTTTCTTCATAGAACTTTTTTGTTTCAGCATATACATAAACAAGTTTTACTAAAATCACTTTGAAGGAAGAAAGCTAGAATAGATGTGTATTTGCAAGAAATACATAGAGAATTAGTAATTAGGTGGTCAAAAGATCCTAAATATCCTTATTTTTTTTTTTTGTTTTTTGGCAGTTGGGGTTAAGTGACTTGCCCAGGGTCACACAGCTAGTAAGTATCAAGAGTTTAGTCTGAGGCTGGATTTGAAGTCAGGTCCTCCTGACTTCAGGGCCGGTGCTGTATCCACTGTGCTACCTAGTTGCCCCATATTTTCACTAACTTTTAATTGAAATTATGTATTTTTGTCAGTTGCCGTAGCTATTGCTTCTCATCTCACATCATGTAGATGTCACAATCATCCTCACTCTTTTCATTATCTTCAGTTTTTCCCTGTCTATTGGTTGCACCCTTGCTTCTACAGTGTCTCCCCATCCGTAAAAAAACTCTCATTTGATCCAGCCATTGCCACTGATTGTTATCTTGTATCTCTCCTTCCTTTCATGGCTCAACTTCTTGAGAAAGCCGTTTACAATTAGTGCCTCTATTTCCTCTGCACTCTGGCTTCTCACATCATCATTCAACCGAAAGTGCTTTTTCCGGAGTTACCAATGATCTCGTAATTGCCAAATTCAATGACTTCTTCAATCCTCATGCTTCTACACCATCTGCAACCTTTGACACTGTTGATCACACTCTTCTGATTATTCTCTCCTCTCTCTAGGTTTTCATGACATTGCTCTCTCCTGGTTCTCTTCCTACTTATCTTGCCTAACTTTAGTCTATTTTGCTGGACTTCATCCAGGTCTTGCCTATTAACCCTTGGTATCCCACCCTCCCAAGATACCGTCCTAGGATTCTTCTCCCTTTCTCTTGTGGAATCTCATCAGCTTCTGTGGGTTTAATTATCTCAGTGGAGATGATTGTCAGGTCTATGTATCCAGCTTTCTCCTCAGCTCCAGTCTCACGTGGTGGAAGGAATATCCTTCCAAAGTATTCACAGATTTCACAAAAATCACAGACCAGTTGCCTATTTGAACTAGATATACAGCAGGCATCTCAAACTCAACCTGTCTAAAATGGAACTTATCTCCACTCCTTTCTTCTAAACACATCTATTACTGTTAAGGTCATCGCCTTGTCTCTATCACCAAAAATGCAACCTTCGCATTATCCTTAACTTCTCATTCATCTTGTCTATCTAATTTGTTGCCTCATCTAGTTGTTTCTACCTTCCTAACACCTTTCATGTGTGTCTGCTTCTCTCCATGTATACAGCTACTACTCTGGTGTAGGTCCTCACCACCTTGCGCCTGAACCACTGCAGGAGCCTGCTGGTGGGTCTGCTTGCTTCAAGTCTCTCCATGCCAGATCACCTTCCACTTAGTCAAATTAATGTTCTTAATGTGCTGGTCTGCCTATATTACCTTCTTCCCCCTTACTCGGTTCTCCATTATCCCCAAGAACAAATATAAAATCCTCTCATTGGCTTTTAAAGCTGTTCACAACCTGGTTCTTCCCTGTCTTTCCAGTCTTCTTACATTTCATTCTCCTCTTCATACTCTGCAGTCTAGCAACATAGCTTTTCTTGCTGTTTTTCACACATGGCACTCTGTCTTCCAATTTTGTGCTTTTCATTGTCTGTCTCCGATGAACAATCTCCCTTCTGGCTTCCTTCAAGACTTACCTTAAATCCCACCTCCTGCAAGAGGGTTAGTTCCCTGAACTGCTAGAACTTTCCCAATATTGATCATCTCTAATTTATGTTGTATACAGCTTGTTTCTACATAGTTTTTTTGCATGTTGTCTTTCCTATTCGACTATGAGCTCCATGAGAACATGGACTATCTTTTGTCTTTCTTCGTATCCTACAGTGCCTGACATATAGTATGTGCTTTAATAAATGCTTGTTCATGATTTTGAATGCAGGCAATGAAGCTTTTTTTCTAAGGAGCCTGCAGGTTTCACTACACGGACAAAAGGGGTCCACAACACACAATTCCCCCAACCACCAGCTTTAGTGGATCTGTGATTTCCTTGATATGGATATTTCCTCCAGTAATGAAGTAGCAGCTCATTCATGTCTTCTTATCCTGGTTGACTTTTGTCCCTATTCTTTTGTACATCTTCAGAGGGTCTGCTAAATGTGTTAGGAACCCATCTTTCAGAGTCATAGTCAATAAACATTTATTAAGTGGTTACCATGTGCCAGGTATTCTGCTAAGCACTGGGGATACAAAGAGAGCCATAAGACATTGCCTGCTCTCAAGGAGCTTACAATTTAATGGTCTATTTCTTGACATTGATACCAGAAGCACACACAGCCTGTGTGGCTACCTCTTGCTTTTGTGGGGCCCAGTTTCTTTTGTTTTTCAGTCATAAGTTTCTTCATGTTAATATGTTACAGCCTGTTCATGCCTACCACATGCCTTTCCATTGCCTTTTGGTTGACATTCAACAAAGCTGTCATATTCCTTGGTTCTCAGCCTTGCAGTATCGCCAGAAGAATGGTATTGTTAAAAAGATGAGAAACATGGGTATAGAGGTAGGTCCCTGGCATCTTTACTGGATCCTCCAAAGCGTTTACAGGAGAGTAGGGACAGGAGTCAAACAGGATGGGAAATTAGTAATCCTCGTTGGAAAGAATACCTATATCAAGGAAATCACAGATGCACTAAAGTATCAGAGTAATCATGATGTTATGGGATCACTGACCACCTAATCCCCAATTTTCTGTGTTAAAAGCACTAGAAAATGTCTCGAAGGCCCTCAAACCTGCTCTTCCCCACCTGCTTACCTTTGGGCTCAGCAAATTGTCCATTTGCAGTGTCTATTAAAAAATATGAACTGATGGACCAATTCTATAGATTGTGCAAATTATGGTATACAGTTGGGTGGATAATAGGCTTTTAAAAACTCTTCTGGATAATTGTGAACTTTGTAGTAGGAATACCATCTGTTTTATATAGGTAGGAATAGCTGCATTATAAGGCAGTGGGGAGGCCATTATTAACATCATTGCTTTGACTTCCTTGCCTTTGAAGCATAAAAGACCCAGCCTATAGGGAATTAATATCTAAGGTTTTAGTGGAAATTCCATTGCTTCATGGCTATGTCTTATTAGATCTAGCATGACTATTTGCCATGATGAATATGGAGGTAGAAGAGAGTATCCATTTTATTTGGATTACTGTCTTTTTTTCTTTTTAAACTTGCATCCTTTTTATCTGTTGTTAATAGTAAAATTACTTTTATTATACTTTATTGTGCAGGATTGTCTTGTTGCATTTTAAACTTGCATCTGAATCATCGCACTCTCCTGAGATATGCTTGGCCCAGAATGATTTTTTTACATTCTGAGCCTTGAAATAAGTGTCATCTGCAAACAACATCTGGATGACATTGCTTCACTATAGTGAATCTTGTGATTTGAACTCTGTAATAGACATGTCCCATGATGGCAAACCATTGCTGACGAGCGTTGTTCTCCCAGTTCTTTGGTCTACTTGATATTTGTAATGAGAGGGTTTTTGAACAAAGTTATTTCCGTTCTTTCAGATTTCAAGGATTCTTGCATGATTTAAAAAAAAATTATTGATCTTTTATTTTTACATTGTCTAAATTTTTCCTGTATACCTGTCTTTTCCCTTCTTCTCTCTCCCAGAGAGCCATCCCCTATAAAAGAATTTTGAATCTTGTATGATTTTGATATATGGGTGGTAAAATGCTTTCTCATAGTCAAATGATAAACAGAAAGACCTTTTATTTTCTACTCCTTTCTATCAGTTGTGTGCCTGAAAAGATTATTTTTTTTTGAATATTGTCTTGAAAGTCTGTATTCTCTTCTAATACCTTCATCAAGGATGCTATTGAGGTGTAAGCAGGCTTTTAAGCCTTTGGGCTGGTAGTTATTAATATTCTCTTGGTATACTTTTTTGGGTGTTGACAAAGTCTTGAATTTTTAACAAAACCTTTGGTTTCCTCCCCTCTTCGAGATGCCTTGAGAACCAATCCCTCTGGGCCTTCAAAATTGTGTCCCCCGCACTGGGCTGCTTCTGTGGAGACTTGGCCTAATCAAGCAGTTCTTCATATTTTGTGCCATTTCAGCTTCCTAATCTGCATTGCTTGAAACACTCACGTTCTAATTTTTTTTTGG